GCTTGGCAAAGCTGGAAACTGAGGCCAGTGAGGGAAAACCCCTAGGGCTGGACTTGGAACCAGACTGATCCAAGGAGCCCCGGCCCTGGACACCGGGCTGTCAAATGATTATCAGTATCTCATGCAGGTTGCCTGTGCTGTACAGAGCGGTTCCACGGGAGGCTGAGACTTTCCCACCTTTCAGAAGTAGATAAAAAATAAATTAATTTAAAAAAAATCTCCCAGGCATCTCTGGGTGCAACCAGTGAACCCTTGGTGCCAGCCAGCGTTCTCAGGGATTAAGTTCAGGCAGGCTAAAGCCAGAAGAAGGATGGGCCCAGGCAGAGGGTCCTGGTGATGGGGGCTGAGTTGAGACATTCCTTACTGCCAACAGCCAGGAGACACCTGGGGACCTAGGATCTCTGAGCTGGGAGGAGCCAGGCTTAGGTATCCCTCAGAACAGAGCCTAACTCCCAGCTTAGGCCGGGCTGTGGGAGAAGCCTCCCTGGCCACGCTGCCACTCCTGCTCGGGCATCCTGGGGTAGGGATTTCTAGGCCCCAGGCCGCAGTTTTGCCCCTCTGAAACACGGGGACCAATAACCACCTGTAAGAGGAGCATTATTAAAACAACAACAACGACAAAAACAGGTTCTTTGGCCACCCACATTTTCCAGGTATTGCCTCCTTTGGGTCCCCCAGAGCCAGATTTCGTCCTGCTAACGGTCAGTCCCTGTCCTGCTTGGCACAGTGGAGGGACATTGACAATGGGGAAGGCCCCCAAGGAGATGGATTGGCGCAGAGGCTGCGGTGCTGGGCTCAGGTGTAGCACAATTATGAGGATGGCCTGGGCCAGGCAGGGTTTCCTTCTGTTGCCCAGTGGGCGGCGATGGGTCAGAACCCACTGGAAGGCGTCTAAGAACCAACCACCACAAACTGCAGCCCTGCTTCCGGTGTGCAGTCCTGGGTGGTCCCAATGGTCCACCTGCTGGGTTAGGAAGTTTGAGTTCACACCCCCTGCACCCCCCCACCCCCAGAAGTCCCTCAGAAGAAAGGCCTGCTTATGGGGGGGGACGGGACGGACAGCCAATGAGCATCCCATGGAGAGCAAATCTGCTGTGTCACACGCAGGGTGGCCGGAAGCCAGTGTCTTGGGCAAGCCGGGTTTGGGGGTCTTGACAGACCCAGTTTGGGGCTCTTTATGGAGGGTGTGGTCGGCCCTAGGAGGGCAAGTGTGATACTTAAGGAGGGCCTGAGCTAAGTTCTGAAGGCAACCTTCTAGAACAAGGACAGAAGACCTGGGTGCACGAGACTGCAGCACCCACACGCACCCCACCCACCACCCACGCCCATCCTCACCCCCACGTTTCTGGGAAGCAGCCGAGCTGGCTCAGCTCCCACAAAGCCGCTGATTTCAGCCACTGCTTCGCCAGCCCCCTTCTTGACCAGAGAAACCTCATTAAATAATCACCATTTCTCTTCTCCATCTTTTATTAATCAAAGACGAAGAGCCGGCCCTCCGAGCTGCTAATGGACTCTGGGGGTACAGACGCCAACCCAGCGCAGGACAGGGAGGGCCTTGGGGTGGCTAAGTCACTCCTCTCCCCATGCCTCACGGGAGACCCCCAAGGTTGGAAATCCTGTCCCTGCAGACTCACGGCACGGGCACTGCGGCTGCTGTGACCGACAGTCTTCTGCTGTTGATGGCGACCTGGCTGTGGCAGAGAACTGGCCCCTGCCCCAGGGGTTCCCCTCTGTGGAAAGGAACGCTTATGTGCTCAGCGGCTCACTGGGAGTCCAGCGGTTCAGACCCAGCCAGCGGTTCTGTGGGACAAAAACTAAAACAAAGGGACTGCCATCGAGTTTATTCTGATCCTGCCCCTGTGAGCTTCCGGGGCTTTACGGAAGGGGAAGAGCCATGTCTTCCTCCTGCGGAGCCACTGGTGGTTTTGAACTGCTGACCTTGTGATTCCCAACCTAACACAGAACCCACTGCACTACTAGAGCTGGCCAAGGTGTGTCCCTGAAGTTGACGACCTAGAAAGCCCCCTGGGGAAGTTCTACTCTGGGGGTCGCTAGAAGTCGGAAGAAGCAGACCGCCAGGTCTGTCTTACATGCTGCTTACACGTGGCTTCAAGCCACAGTCAAGGGCGAACCATGTGTCTTACTCGAGAACCAACGGGTCCGCTGGGCCTGGCTCCCAAGGAGGGACTGGACAAGAGGGCATGCTGTTGGTGGCCTCCAGACCCCGGCTGCGCACTTGACACACACATCCCCCTCACCCCCAGACATCTGGGTTCCCCTCAGCTCACGCCTCTGGGCAGTGGCTCTTGGGCCACTTCTAAATGTTATTCCCAGTGTGGCCAGCAGGTGGGGAAATGACCACAGAAGCTTCGTGGTGTGTGTGTGATCAGCCCCACTCTGGCCAGGCATGGTCCTCTGATGGACAGAAAAGAATAAGGTCTCCCGGGTGCCCTGGAGGGAGACCGAGCGGACCCGAGGGGTGTCACTCACCCATCCCTCGCCCGGGACTAGGGCAGTCACCCCTGTGTGTTC